CACCCAGTTCATAGCAGTGCTTATATTGATTTTCTGACATCTTGTTTTCTGTAAAGATTTATTGGTAGGTTTGCAAATGTGTATCAGACTGTGCAATCTCTCCATGAGTTGGTTTTGAAACCCAGTAAGGGATTCTGAGATACATTACCAAGGATATTATTACAAGATAAATCATTTGCTTCATTGAACACATACAACAATGCATATTTCCACTGAGATCAGTGACCTTTGATGTGTATCACCAGTGAACATTCAAGTAGAAACAGTCGAAATATTTTATCAGTTTTTCTCAATTTTTGCATGATATTTTCATACAGGACATCTGTTGTTCAAACTCAGGGAAGACTTTATACTGATGAACAAGGTGACCAAGTTTGATGAAGTTTGGAATAGAATTAGTAAAGTTATCATGCACACAATAACAATTATTAACGACGACAACGACGACGACGACGACGACAACGCCGGACAAAATCTTTCCCATAATATACCTTTCCTTTCCATCTTTGATGGTACGGGCAAGGTAAAAATAAATTGAACACAGTCACGATAACAGTAAGTTCTAAGTATAAAGTTTTTGGTTGACCCTTGACACAAGCACAAAATCATCATATTTATTTGGTCAATAAAACTTACTGAAGCAGCTCTTCTGCAATTTACTTCTCTGTCAAATACCGTGGCAATAATCAAAGCATTTGCAATGTCATTAACATGTGACTGTAAAACGTCTGGTTCATACGCCCTGGCAAATGACCAACACACGTAACATGCAGCATCTCGCACATGGGCACCTGGTTTGAATCAAATAAAATTCACAATTAAATTGTTAGATATTACTGAGCACATTTTCAGAATGTGTGAATTTATTGTAATATAAATTATTGTTTTCAGAATACACCTGTAAAATTTGAAGGTATGTCATCTGGCTGTAAATATTATGACAATTATTAAGGTTACAAATAGTAAATTTATAATTACCTCGGTAGTTAATTATTGTGAGGATTAAAACAAGGATCGGTAAAAATTTAACTTAAAAGTACCTGACTAACTTTCACCACAATCTGAAAAGAGGTTCTTGATAGGGTGGACAGATGGTCGGTTGGACAGATGAAGATCACTTTAATATTACAAACATTTATATGTCTACGTACTGTTTGCAGCCAAGATAATGTCTTATTCTATACATTGCATTTTTATTCCAGATACATTTTACATGTCTCTAGTATATATCTTAGACATGAGATATGTATGGATTTCACACTCTCCATGTGTGACAATAATAAATTACTCACCTACACTGTAGGAGCCTCGTTTTTCATCATAACCCAAGGCTTTTATCACAACTGGTACAACTGAATTTGGAAAAAAAAAATTTAATAATTTTTCAACAACAACAAAAATTAATGCATTAGCAGAAATTAATTCCCTGACACACAGTTTCCTAAAGTACTGGATAAGAACTCACACACTAAAAATCCAAAATTAATTATAATTAATTTACCTTCAGGTAATCTTTCTGGTAATAATAAACCTCTTCTTCCAAGTTCAGCTAATGCTAAGCAACCACCATGCCAAGCTCCATCAGTTTCACTTAAACTGTGAAGAGGAATAAAACAAGATATTTGTTTTATTGTGTATGCACAAAGCATCTAATATGAACAGCACTACTCTAGTCATCCATTACTGATGACATCATCATCTCCATCTCATTTACCTCAGCTCAATATTGCTAACATCTACAAGTTACCTGAATAACTCTAAAACTGACTCAACCACTTGATCTGCCAATTCTTGAGGAAGACGTCCTGTAATGCGACCAACACTGCAATTCAAATGAAAACAAAATGTCTCAACATAATGAAATCACTGTTCAGCTTCTTGATACAACATATGTTACATTAAAGACCCTGTGACATGTGTTGGTGCTCGTATAGCCATGCAATATGGGTACCATCAACTTACCCCTTAGCTGCAGACCACCTGACTACAGTGTCTTTATCTTTGAGTCCTATTAATAACTGATCTGCAGATGAAATAAAAGAATTTAGTTGTAAAATCACTCACTGTTATGTATTGAACTAGTTATTCCATTCTCAAATTCATTGAGCTCAATATGGAATGGTGAAGTACCATGGTAGTTAACAATTGAAATACGAATAAAAACATAAAAATCGCAAATCAAGCTCTTATCACATAATCATACCTATAACTTCTTCAATTTCTTCTGGTATATCATAATCTTCATCACCTTGAGTTACCGTGGAAACATCTGCTGGAGATTGTTGAGTTTTCTTGAGATTATCAAGCAGTGATCTACTTCCTCGTTGGTACCTTGATATGGAGCAATGTAGACGTTACTCAACACACATACCTATACTGTCAATGATTGCTTAGCAACATAACATAGATGAAATGTACATTACTGGATTACATGTACATTCTCTAGCATAAATAAATCAAATAAGTAAGATTAGGTTATGTCATCATTGATTATTGGAAATAATTTACACAAAGAATGAATGATACAATCAAATACTGAAAGAGAAATATAATTTACGACTACACTGACTAAAATACAGCTTTTTTCTGACAATTAAGCAGTGTCAGAACATCTCATCAATACTAAGATTTTTGACCTACAGTATGAGAAACAACATTTTTATTTGTCTACCAACACTTCCACCATGCTTACCTCCATGTTGCTATCCTAGCTTTTACAAATGTCAGCCCCAGTCTTTGTATAAGTTTGATATTTTGTTTCCTCAGAATGGTATTATTAGTAGTAGTTACAGTAAGAGCAGACAATCTGTCCAGTACAACAGGAGCTGTGAATAGAAGGACCGAAAAAATACAAAATGGTTATATGCAAAGCCCTGTAGCAGAACAAATCACAACATTTGAAAAAAATCATTTGAATATCAGGAATTTTAATACAATTTTTCATTTATTAGTAGGTGACTAACATAGGAGTGACTACAGTCAAAATAAGTCATGTTTCAATGATCAAGCAAACAATGAATGCAATTCTTGGCTTCTATTAGAAATGCAATGGATTTTTATTCAATTTTATTTATTACAACAATTTCAACAAAGCAATGACAGCTTGCATACTCTGTTTTGCTCTCTTGTGAACTTATTGTTCAAAAAATATAGAAACTAAATGTTTGTCTTTCCAGGGTGATATTTTACATGGAGCATTACTGGAATAAAAAATACACAAATAATCAAATGAATGAATGAAAGCAGCTCACCGTATGAAACTAAGTCTTCTCTCTTGCCATGTTTGAACAACAAAGCCTGGAGTAAAGAAGACGGGGGTATCAGGTTATGGAATGTATTATGAAATCAGATTCAATAATATCAAAGAGTTAGGACGTTGACACTGAATGCTACTTACCAGTGTTGATAAGACACCTGACAGCACTGTCATCCCAGGCATAGTCTCACCTGAAATAAGATTTGTACAGGGGGTTGATAAGTACCACATGGCATTAACTGTTGCTTACAAATGAGCCAAAAAATCACACAAGATGATGAGTGTGACACAAAATTACTAGAAAACTGTGCTAGTTTATAAAGAGCTATTCGTTGCTATGGAAATACTTACGATCAGCTTTTGTCATGACAGTCAAACACCAGTCTAGAAAAGCAGGCAGTTTTTCTTTTTTGACATCTGGTCTTGTTAAGAACCTGGTGAAAATAACAGAAATACAATTGTATTGAAAACATTCAAGTAAAAAGTTCATTCTTTTTTAAGTGTTTAATTTTAATGCAGATAAATAAAAGACTTACTTTGATAAACAATAAGCGGCTGCATCTCTAGATTTATCACTAACATCTAAATAGGACTGTAATAAAACATATGGCATAAACATATTA